TGGCGAGTATGAGACATCGAAAATCGATTCCATGGAGGCACTGCACAAATCCATGTCGGCAGCGCAGGTACTGTATAGAAACTGGCAATTGTCATGGTCACTTCTTTTCCAGATGCATGAAATGAACACCACTGGCTTTGCCATCATGACACCTTTCCAAATATCGCAGTTTTACGGTCCAAGGTCTCCATACAACGATTCGTATGCTTATAAAAATTATAGGAACATTCGAAGAAATGATATTCCACATATGTTGGAGAATAATATTCATCGAATGGCTAGAGAGGAGCAGGCTTTCAAGGTGGCCAGAAGAGTAAGTAATTGCGCTATTGAAAAATTGAGTTCTTAGAAAACTACCAGCCTGTTTGCCGCGTCTCTGGCTCTTCAAACGGTTGGCTGGTGCGCCTTCTGCGCGATTCAACCTAGTTTTTATCGTCTGTCAGTTCGTCCGTCTGCACGATTTTTAATCGTGCAGACGGACCAACTAACAGACGCAACTTCATTTATTTACTACATATGTATAAGAAAGATTATTTTTCTTCCAGAAAGACGTCACCCTGAGTCCTCTCCTCTTCACCTGGATAGTTCTCGCCCCAGCCACCGCCTCCCAACCTATCATTCTCTCCCCTCTAGTCTTCTCTCCCCTAATCCTATCACCATCCGCTCTAGGCCCCCTTATCCTCTCTCCCTGGATCTTCTCCCCCTTGATTCTCTCCCCACGTGTTCTAGCCCCCATCATCCTCGCCCCAACCATTTTCAGTCCCATCATCCTATCCCCATTGGCCCTCTCTCCCTTGATTCTCTCACCGGCCGTTGCTGACCCCTTGATCCTTTCTCCTTTCGTTCTGACTCCTTTCATTTTGAGTCCACTTGTAATGGTGCCCCTCATTCTTAACCCGTTTTGCTTATCACCCTTACTAGGTGTCCCCAACAGTTTGTCCCCTCTGATCCTGTCTCCTTTCGTACTATCCCCATTTGTATTGTCTCCTCCATTTGTCAATGCTTTTGTGTTGTCACCATATGTGTTATCTCCAATTGTACTTTCTGATGGACTTTTGTTTACTGCTGTGTTGTCCCCATCATTTTTGAGTTCCCTTTAGTTCTGTATGTAAAGACTTTAATAATTTAATAAAATAGAGATCATAATGTACTTAACCAACTCGGCGACAGTACCGCTGTAAAAAGTGCACCGTTTGATAAAACCGCAGGTGACAAGGCGTATGGATTCAGAACAAACGCTGACACAAATGGAGGGGACAAAATCAAAGGAGACAGTACAAAAGGGGACAAAATGATTGGAGTAAGCAAGTTGGGTACCCCAATAAAAGGCGACAGGGCGAACGGGGATAAAATGATTGGGGTGAGAGCTACAGGAGACAAGATGAATGGGGTTAATACAAATGGTGATAGTACGAATGGGAGACCTACACCTGGAGATAAGACTACTGGAACCAGACAGAGAGGAGAGAGGATGACTGGTGAGAAGACGATTGGGGATAGGACGACGGCTCCGAGAATACGGGGACTGACAAGAACGGGTACAAAGACCCAAGGAGATAGGATGACGTTTCCATAAATGGAAGGGGAGAACACAAGGGGTGCCAGAAGAAGAGGGGATAGGATAATGGATTGGGAAGCTGTCTCAGGGACACCGATGAACGAGGTGAGAAGAACTGGCATCAGGACGAGGTCTTTCTGAAATACATAGGTTTATTAGAAAGTGTGCTTCATTGAGAATTCTTGGGGTTCAAGTCTTAAGCTTTAGGTTAGCGTAGACGCAGCTCAGCTGGTAGGGGCAAGGCACTTCTAATATTTTGTCCATAAGTTCCATTTCCGAAAAGCTACAATGAGGAAATGAAAGAATGAAATCTACTTAAGGTGTTGCTCGGAAAATATTAGTAACGCCACGCCACTACCGTCTAAAAAGGGGGCGGAAGGTATTCCTGAAAAGGGAACGGGCGGCTCAGCTTGAAAAGCGCGTATCTCAAAAACTACGGTAGCTATCAAAATACTACAACCTAACAAAACAAAGATCACAATATTTCCAACATTTTGATGTAATGATCATGTTTCTAGAAATTGTAAAACTAAAGATACAAAGGATATTAAAATATATCAAAAAAAATTTTTACAACTTCACTACGCGCCCGGTAAAATTGCGGCTGACCTAATAGGTCCACTCTATACACTGACTTTGATCTCAATTATTTTGTTTCCAATGAGCGATGTCAAAATTTTGTCAACTGATAAAATATTGGTGATATTATGGGTTATAAATTACCAGTTGACAGATTTTTAAAATCTCTCGAAGGTACCGAGATAATTAGGATCAAAATGCATGGGATTATGTTAGAGCAAACACCGTAAACGTGATACCAGTTTACTTTCAAACTGACCCCTAACTTTTTACCATCCCACCTCAATTACATTTTGCAAGTTTTTTTGACTGCAGAAAATCACAAATAATGACATCACGAGGTCATTAGTACCCAATTAAGTACAAATTGATTCATAAGTTTCTTTGTTTCAAGAGGAAGTTTATAAGAAGAAGACCAAAGATACCTTTCTAGAAATTTCAAACTTCATCTCTTCATTTGCTATCAATCTTATATTCTCCTCTATCCTCTCCGGCATACTCTCTGGTGATATCCCTTTGAATTTTTCTAACGCTTCCGAGTTGTTGAATGGAGAATTTGGTCCATAGATGGTTTCCAGCTGCTTATCGTCCATTATAGTGTACCCGGTTTTGTTCATGGATTGCATCTGAAAATTGAAGACATCTAAAAAGATAAGGATATTGTTAATATGTAGGTGGCCAAGCAGCCCTAGAAGTTTCTGGATGACTGAGCTTATTTCCGAAAGAACGGACTTCAAATTTACCTGTTCTGCAGACAACGACTTATAAAATCCATCCAACAAATCCAACTTTCCCGCTTCATACTCTCCATAAATCTGTGTTGCATTCTCTTTGGAAAAATACAGAGGCTTCCCATCCTTATCCACAAAATCACGCATTCTCTCCTTTTCTTCTTCCTCTTTCTCAACTTTTCTAAGCCTATCCACAGTTTCTGTGACCCCAGAAGCTTCTAGAACAAAATTCATCCATTCCTCCTGTCCAGTGTCTTCCATAAGTTTCAATGCTTTTGTTAAACTGATTTCCCGATCCATATCGGAGCCTTCTCCATGAAGTGATAGGATCGATGGGGAGAGTAGCGATACCTGAAAATCGCATTGGTCTCATACGTGCACTTTGAGGTCAGTTATCTCATCTCCTTCAAAAGATATCAAAAATTGTTAAACTAATAACTTGTGTATCATAACATCAGCAATATTATATAAATGTACGGTACATGTTCCATCTTTGAACTCTTATCTCTTTTTCTTCAAATCCCATACCGTATCATTGGCCACTTCATCGGGAAGTATGCTCATAAATTGTGGTGATAAAAGTGCAATCTTCTTGTCGTCCAGTGAATCGGCGCCTTTCTTGTTGCCCGCCGCCATCATTCCTATTTTGATAGCTGCAAAAAAGATAAAGAGGGATAGGGGGAAAGGAAGTGGTGACCTAAAAAATTGAGATAGATCTTTTTTCGTTTTACGTTTTCCATTTTTGCAAACTGGCCGGGGGCATACCTTGGCCCTCTCGGTTTTCTCGTCCCTTTTGGTCTATAATTTTGCTCTTTCCGTGATATCTCTTGTAGGAACCGAAATAGTTGGGCGACAAGTAGGATTCTACTAGAGTAAATACGGTATCCTGATTTGACATTTTTCTGAGAAAAACATTCAATTTGATCCCCAACAAAAGTTGTTCATAATTTTTTGATTTGTCTCTAAATTTAGGAGTATGTTGAACAAAGTTAGAGCTTCATTTTTGAATTTGACAATTTTTTTGTAAAATTTCTACGAAACCAAATAAGTGGTTTTGAAGTGGCAAGGTACTTTTCCGGTTACAAGCGGCATACCTCATCCGAATGAAACTTAGGTCCACTACAAAGCGGTCGGAAACATGGCTTTGTAGCTAGGTATTTCTGGGATGCGTAGGATTCGGTGCCCTGGTGGCACTAGAACTTTCCCCGAGCCGCGGCCGGCCGCTGACCTCTTTCCAGCAACCTTGGTCCACTTGCAAGTTTTACCTCTTCAAAACCACTCGGCTGGATTTGTACTGATAATTTGTCAATGATAAAACTTTGATTTTTTCAATGTTTAGTTTACTCTGGAATTTTTGGACTTCTTTTTCTGGATTTAAAAGTAGACTTCCACTGAGAGCCACACGAAATATGACACATTACTTATTCGGTACTGTAGGTGATACCTAAATGATCACATTCTCCTGATAGAGCCTGCGCCTAACCCTGTCCACCTGCCTATCTGTCGATCCAGATGTCCTACCTTGTCTAATCAACTTGATCGGTTCGTTCAAAACCCTATCATCCGGACTCATCGTCGCCATCATCTCCCTCGCGTCTTTGGCATCCTGTTCTTTTTCGCTTAGAATCGGTTCGTCGGCAAACAAATCATCCATTCCCTGCAAAATCTCATTGATAGAGGTTTCGAAAAAACGAGTGATACGGTCTCACTATACTCTGCATCGCCTTGTTCGGATTCAGTCCAGTCTGGCGCATGGTGCTCACGAATTTTGAGAATTTGCGTTTCATCCGTTCCTTGTTCCTCTTTTTGCCCTTGATCCGTGTTGACTCGTCTTTGATGTCTTGAATTACTTCTTGCCATCTGAAAGAGACTTGGTACTGTAGCTATGATTTTCATAGGCTGTAAAGTAGGTTAGATCCTAAAGAAAAGATAATGATATCATTTAGATCTTTTTTGGATCATAAAGATACCCGTTTCTATCTTAAACCATCATATAAGCTTTATCACATGGGCGATTCTCATTATCAGTTATTTATCACATTGTACTATTTCCTTAATATTATCTCAATACAACCAAAAGTTCTAGTTTCGCCTCTTCTCTCTGATTCTTTGAATTCTGATTTCTAATGTCTATTGTAATGAATGGGGAGACTAGGTTATATATTCTTTTTCTCCACTATACGAATCTTTTGCTTTTCTTCAATAAAATTTTTCATTTCCGTTAAGTTCGTATGATATCACTTTTCAACTTTTTTTCAAATTTTTTTCGGTCAAGTCTGTGTATGTGTGTATGACCTTCAGTTTTTGTGAACTACGAAATTCGGAACAGTCGGATATTGAGAAAAAATATTAGGTGATATCTGATCTGGGAAACTGTTTTTGTGGACTTTGAACCTTTTTTGATGACCACTACCGGAAGGAAATGAGAAGAATTTGAGAAGTTCGAGGCGTAGTTTTTGAACCATGGGATGTCCAAAAAACAATCAAATTTGATCTACGAACCAAAATTCATCTGGTCTAAAACACACTACATACCGTGAAACTTGTAATAGATGGGCTAGTTAGCTTTGATAAAAATTATCTCGATTCCTTTGAAAGATATCGAAAAGTGCTCAACTGATAAAATGTTTATCATCATATTAAAAACATTTTGTCAGTTAACCACTTTTTTGTATTTCATACCGGGGCCAGCTAATTAGTGTAAAACTTGGGATAGATGAACCTGTTAATGTTGATAGATTTTATATTGGTTCCTGTGAATACAGGAACAGACATAAATTGTTACAGGAACAGACATAAATTAACGCGAAAATCACAAACCCCTTTCTTCAGGCTTTAAGGTAGCTTAAATTTTGGGCCTATACCATAGTCTATACCTAGCCTATATCTAGCCCATATCTAGCGTATATTATAAAACAGAGCCCGTAAACTCAAGGGATATACCTTTTTGGCGCTTCCTTTTTATTTTTCCCAGCTCTGACTAGCTCTGTCAATTTCCTAGCAATCAAAGCCAATGGCGACAAACTTTTGTTTTCGCGAATTGTATAAGATCTCCTTGTCTGCACATTCCCTCTGATCGCTTCTTGCCTCTTATTCTCCATCTCATCAAATATGGAAAATCCAGATGCTCTCTTCACCCTAAACTCTTCTGCGCCAGATTTCACATACTCATCATAATGATTGAGCGCTGTCTTGAATGCTTGAGTATCTGCTCGGTTTCGTTTTCGGTGAGAGTTCACTAAACTCAAAGTTTATATAATAGAAGCAAATCGACACTTACGAATAGTAGTTCGATTACTGTACATCTTCAACTTTGCATTCCTCTTTTTCAGCTGATCAAGTACAGTAACCACGCATTTCGCATGCGCAGTCACATTCTTTGAAGCATGAATGCATGTGTAGTGCTCCTTCTTCTCCGTTTTGCTCATTTTACGATTATTGATTCTGGAGTTGTAGATATTTTAAAAATGAGGTATACTGTAGGCTTACACATTAGTAACAACTGCCCCCATGAGTCCAGCTAGGCTTTGATCCATCCAGTGTTTATACAAGTCATCTCTTGCTTCATCTGATACGGTGATTATTGTCTTGTTACCATCATGAGTTAGGGTATTCACTTTTCTGTGTTCCACGTCATCATCCGGAATGTCCGCGACGTCTTCATCTCTGATGATAAAATCTAGGGTCTGGAATTGAAGCTAGCCATGTCAAATTACTAGGTCACGTCACTCACATCATTATTTTCTTTTCTCAATTCTTCCACTGCAGTTAAGTTCACAAACGGAATTAATTCTTCTGGAATTTTTCCTTTCCTCACTTCTTCCTTCACAAAATCCGACATATTTCTCGGCTTGGAAGTTGTAAATTCCAGTTTCGGCACATTTTCAGACCAAGGGAAGTTGTAGGGGTTGTCAGATGTCTCATTGAATTCTAGGCCTAGTTTTCCTAGAACAAAATATGTAGAAAACCCCAAAAATCGAAAAAATTCTTACCACCAACACATGTCAAACCTAAGAATCCTAGAAACCAGCGTAGCCAATGCATCAGAAAAAGTGAAAAACTTGATTTAGTAACCTTATATAAACTTGCCTCATTTGACCCAAATTAATCACTAACTCTACTAGTTAAGAGAAGGGTTTTCACTTAAGAAAACTTAAGTAATCCAATTATAGTGGTCTGAGTGGTTTTTAATGAACAAAAGGAACGGTGGGTTTTGGAACAAAACGCAAACAATGGAATTTAGATCAAAAAGTTACTAGGTTAAAACTATGTCGGCCCGAGTCGGATTCTCAAACTTCAAGCTTCTGAAATTTGGTAAACTATTCTGCAGAGTATGAAAATCTTGGAACTAACGTAACAACGGAGTGTCATAAAAAAACTTTCTCTAGGCTGGAATTCAATTATTCAAGACAGTGAAGGTAGGAGATTATTCAGAGTTTTTGTGGGAGTTACAGTCCCAAGACTGACAGCATGGAGATCTACATTAGTCCCAGCAGAGTTTTCGTGTTCCTAATAACCAGAGTTTTGACTGACAGATGCTTCAAACGACGATGAACTACGGCCCCCTATGCAGGGATGTTCAGAACGGAATTCGAAATTCCGAATTCCGAAAATTCCGAAAATACCGACCTTCTTCGGAATGATATTCCGACCGGAATAATTCCGAGGGAAAAATTCGGAATGAAATTCCGGTCGGAATAATTCTGAAAGATTTTTTCGAAATTAAATTCCGACCGGAATTTTTCCGAAGCTTTTTTTCGGAATCTAAATTTTCTGACTACGGTCCGTCGGAGGAAAATTTGTTTGTAGGTCTCGAACTGAATTACTTTTGATAGTATTTAGCGCTAGTTTTTTGCGTTTTTGTGATGGGAAAATGGAATTTCTAATTTAGAATTTGAATTTTAAAACATTCCGAAAATTCCGAAATTCCGAATTTTTAAAAATCGGAGTATTTCGAGGTTTCGAAATTCCGAAATTTTCAAAACAGGAATTTTCGACATTTCGAAAAAATCCGAAAAGGTCATTCCGAACATCCCTGCCCCTATGTCTTGTCTCTCTGTTTTGTTGTACCTTTAAAATACCGTTTCAACCAAATTTATCGTGGTTCCTGTGATAATAAACAAAAAGTTGACCACTAACAAAATGTTAAGCATTGTATCAAAAACATTTTATCAGTTGACCGGTTCAGGATATCTCTCACAGGAATCAAGATAAAATAGCTAAAAGTAAACACTACGAGTCACACAATCTTCACGATAAGTCCCTTTTAATGTTTCATTTATCAAAAAGACTCTACTCTGAACATTTCGAATTCTTCTGATCTTGTCAACTCTTATTCCTTGTCAATTTGATGTTTCTACAGTATTCCTTCCTTATACATCAAGTCAATCGAACAATTTGATCCGTCGCCCCAAAAATCAAAAACCAAGAAAAAATTTAATGACACCTTTCGAAACAAAATACATCAGAACAAACACATCTCTCATTAATCTTATTTCTCTCTCGAAACTACGAAAAACTGGTTTTCACCCTCTTCATCATCACGTTGTCAAACGTTCTTAGGTTCTTATGAGAGGGGGAAATCCCTTATCACCTTATCAATCCATCAGTTTTCGTCATCAGAAGAAACATATACATGTATATACATTCTCTTGTTTTTACCATTTGGCGAATCACGAGAAGGGATTTCCCCAATTGTCAAAAAAGTCGGTGTCTATGAAAGTTACATTTAGGTACATCATGAACCCTTGAAGGTCGTTTGGGGGAATCCCTATAAGACCCACGGAGGTGGGTGTAATTTTATGTATCATTTTGTTATCGAGAAAATTCTTTCCTTGTCAAGGCTTTTTTCTTATTAGAAGGCGTAAGATCTTAAAATTCGAAAGTCAGAATTCCGTTAGGATCTACAATATGTGGCCCACCCTATACGTCCACTTAGAGCTCAATTATTTTGGTTCCTACAAGAGATAATAAACATTTGTAAACTGATAAAATATTGGAGATATTATGACAAACAACTTATCAGTTGACAACTTTTTCATATCTTTGACAAGGACCGAGATAAATCAGCTCAAAGCCAACATAGATTTTTGGCTTCTGACACCCGTGTGAGCTGTTCCCTATTTGGCCTTCAAGCTATTTTTCCGACGCCATGAACCCAAAACCATAACAAAAGTATAACCGTCTGCGAATGTCCCATTTGTTTTCTTGAACTTCCTCAGTTTTGTTTACAACCAAAATGATTCATGGTCTGTGCGCTGGTGGGAGGAGTTTTCTGTCGTCAGATACTGAAGTTCAAAAGTAGCCACGTGATTTATGGGGTTCTTCTAAGAAGAACTACAGTATCTTCTCAAAAAGTAGGCGTCCTATCGGACATCATATAATCTTCACGAAATGATTATTTCCCTATTAACTAGTTTAAGAATTAGTTACTTATTATTTCTATCGTCTATATTCCGATCCTTTTATGATATCACTTCATTGTTCTCCGATCTTTTAATTCTTCTTTGTGTCTTGATCACTCTTGGAAGTTTCAGACACCTATAGATTAATGGCTGACAGTGGATCCGGATCCTTGACTTCATCGTCTGCAACTGGATCATGGCTCACACGGATGTCACCCAGAGCCTTCGAGCTCCTGTGCATTGTTATGCTTGGCTTCGGACACTTGTGCATCATGACAGGATGCGATTCACAAGCTTTTATTCTCGAATCGGTGATCCACTCGATTCATGAGAGAGAGCCAGGAAGAATCAACTCGCATGCAGGATACTACGGACAAGCTACTTGCTATCTGGCATTTGTGATTACCTGTTTGGTGTCTCCATCCTTCTTGTACGCCACTAGCGCTAAGACGACCCTGTTCATTGCGTCAGTATGCTTCACATCCTTCCCACTTGGATTCCTCTACACCAATCAATACTATTACTTCTTCTCAGCAGCACTCAATGGCGTTGGATTTGCATGTAAGTGAAAAGTCCGGCTCTTCATGAAAAGGGGCCCATGGACCCACTTTTCTCATGTCCCCTGTGTCATAAAGAACCAACAATTCTGATTCGAAACTGAAAACTCAACTATCCCTTTTTCCAGTATACTACACAGGAAACGGTGGATATTTGACTTCCCACTCCACTAGAAAAACCATCGAGTCCAATGTATCCATCTCCTGGGCCATCGGATCTAGTTGCATGATTGTTGGAGCTGGAATTATCGCCCTTATCACCTACTTCACAGCTGGAGCTGGAGCATCCTCTGGTGCAGCCTCCCTGGCTATGGACATTGCTAACGGCACAGCGAATACCACATCCCAACACTTTGAGAGACGATTCAGTAACACTGAGATGTAAGCTTAGGCTTAACTAAAACTCTCAATGAGAAACACAATTTTTAGATACCTTCTCTTCTCGGTGTTTGCTGCTATCTCCTTTATCGGAAACGTCACTTTCCTCCTCATGCCATCCAGCGATATTGACAACTGCATCGAGTCTTCCAAGAAAATCGTCGCATTCCGAGATGGCATCAGTTTGATGTACCGCGCGTTCCGCTCTCCAAAAATGATTATTCTGATTCCTACATTCATTCTAACCGGAGTTCACACCTCATTCTGGGTTTCCATCTACCCAACCACCCTCACCTTCAACTCCCATTTGGCTAGTATGATCTACCTCCCAGCCATCTACAGTTTAGGTGTTGGGCTTGGAGAAACCATTAGTGAGTTTTGTTAAATAAGTCATTTTCAAAAAATAGTGTTTCAGTGGGATTGCTCATCTCGTTCTGTAGCAAGCGCATCAAGAATTTTGGAATGCGACCAACAATGTTCATCGGTTGCTTCTTGACATGCCTATACTGTGCTTTGATTGTTGTCTCCACTCCACCAACTGCTCCACAGGCGCCAACATCTGAAAAGCCTTTGTGGTTCCAGCCAACGTAAGTCGTATATGACTGAGGTTGCCTAACAGTGGTATATTTTACAAATTCCAGAAGAACATTGGTATTCATCATTGCCTTGATTGGTGGAATGTCAGATTGCTGCTTGTGTAGTGTTCGATCGGTTATTTGTGCTCTTGCCATGCCAACCAGAAGAGATCAAGCGTTCTCGGTTTCCAAATTCTATCAATCAATCGGAACCTGTGTGATCTTCTTCATCTCACCATTCCTCAACATTTACTACTACACAATTGGAATTCCGATCCTTTGTGTCATCGCCAGTTTCTGTTTCTTCTTTGAGACTCGACGCATCAAACGAATGGAGAAATCGCTGACCAATATGGAATTGGATCAGCAACAACAAAGAAAGAAGTCTAGCAAATACGAGACGCTGGATGAGGAATTCTAGACTTTAATATTCCTCAAATTTTCCTAGGCCACAATTTTGAAAAAATTCTGCCACTCATTGACGACGCGGGTGATTGTTCTTCGACTTGTCCCAAGATTTATATCAACTTTCTAACATTTTCTTCCCTTCAACCATTTCATATGTTAATAATGACCGCAATATTGTGTTGACCTTGACATTCCTATGATCACAATAAAGACTTCGATTTTTTTGGGTTTTGTTAAACTGATGGCTACGATCATTGACTACGAAAATTTTCTTGGGGATTAAGAAAGTATGAATGTAAGAATTTTAAAACAAGTCTGTTCGGAAATAGGTGTCATGAGAGTTTGTGAATTAAGGAACGAAAAACTGTAACCTCGCTCCATCGTTAATACATTTCTGCAACTTTTAACTTTGAGCCAATTTATCTAGGTTCCTGAGGAAGATATCAAGATGTAATTAACAAACAAAATATTTTGGATATTACGATGAACATTTTGTCAGTTGATCACTTTTTGATATCTTTCACAGGAACCGAGAGAAATCAGCTCAAAGTTGATAGTTAAGGATAGTTAGGGGATAGAGACGACATACTGCAAACTCGCTCCATTGCTAATACAGTAAAACCTGTATTAGAAGGGCCCCTTTAGTAATAAGGGCCCTCCAAAAAGAGGTCGGAAAAATAGAAGGATAACTGTCATAGAAAGGCTCCCCTAGAATCTTCGTATCCTATATTTGATCATTGTTATCAAACAGCTTGCAAGCAATGAATCTGATAACATCATATTATCATAATCATAGTGTCTATGATATCATAATTATGCATCAGAATTGATCTGAAGACGTCAAACATTTTCTGAATAGGTGTATTTTAAAAATTGGATAAAATCGGTTCATATTTATCTAGAAAGTTTCAGATTCCACAGAAAATCAAAAATAATCAAAGATGATCATGCAAAAATCTCAAACTCGTCGTGGTAGATCAAATGTCTGTCTCCTTCCTTATTCCAAATTTGCACAAATTTTCCATTGATAGTTCCGATTTTTTCAGTTTTGGTAGTGTAGTTGGCAGTAATGATTATGTAGTCCCCAGTTCCTTGATAGTCAACGCTGGAGAATGTAGAGGTTGCATCTCCACCGAGCTCGTCAAACTTGATGAACTCGTTTTTGGCCGCTGGAATTCATAAAGTTTGAAGGGAACTTAAAGTCATCATCTGGGATATTTTGGGTTTAAAAATTGCCACA